TTATTAGGGTGGGATGGTCTTGGGAGCGGAGTTCCTGGAGGTGGGGTATTGCACTTACCTAACCCAATGGGAGATTGCACCCCAAGGATCTCCTTTGGGGCCCACTCGTGTGATGTGAGCATCCAGTCTTACCTCCTTATATCACCTGTAGACCTCACAATTCCTGGTCTTTAATTTAGTCTCTAAACTGTATCTCACTCACCCGCTCCCTTTGTTCTTCCCAATCAGGAACCTCTCTCTCCAGAGGTCTTGTGGGCTATTCTCTGGGGACTGCACACTGGCTGCAGAGAGCTGTTTTGTATCAGGCAGTTCAGGACCAGCTGCATATCCGCAAGCACTGTGCCGGGACAGTGGCTGCCAGGGAGAGGGAAACTGGCGACTATAAGTACTTTGATATTGCTTTTAAGCCCCAGCAGGTGTTCCAAGCTGGGAGTAGCCCCAACTAAAATGGTAACAAAGGTGTCCCAAGATGGAGGCGGCTGCTTTCAGTGATGGGGTGTCGAGTTGGGTAGTACTGGGTGGTAGCATTGGGCAGCTATTCAGAAATGCAGTTCTGTGGCATGCAGTGTTGTGGTTGGCGCCTGTCTCCAGACCCTGTGCAGTATCCCCAGGTGGAGGCTACTGCATATAGGGTACTATGGTAGTGGCTGCAGTGTCCCAAGATAGAGGCGACTAGGGGAGCCCCACGTTGATAGACGGGGATCCACATGGGAGTAGCGGCTAGAGGTCCTGCATCTGGGTAGCAGCCGGGTGTCCTGTGTGGGAGCAGTAGCTGGGATTTGCAGGGATGCTGATGCCAGTGGTCCTGCTTGGGCATAGCAGCCACAGGTCCTGCGTGGGCAAGTGACTGGGAGTACTGCACTGACACTGAGGCCTAGAGACCTGCACAGCACAGCAGCTGTGATTCCTTGCAGGAGCAGCTGTTGGGGGTCCTCTAATCACTTGCAGAGAAATAGTATTCCCACCACTTGAATCCCAGGTCACAGAGTGACATAGAATGCAGACTCCCTCTAGCCTGCCATCTTGAAGCCCCCTTCCCCCAACTAATTCCAAGTTTTAAAAGCAGATATTTGAGCCAGGCATGGTGGCACATGCCTATAATCCCAGTGGCTTGGGAGGCTGAGACAGGAGGATCATGAGTTCAAAGCCAGCCTCAGCAATGGTGAGGCACTAAGAAACTCAGTAAGACCTGTCTCTAAATAAAATACAAAATAGGGATGGGGATGTGGCTTAGTGGTTGAGTCCCCTGAGTTTAATCCTCAGTACCACCCCACTCAAAAAAAGTAGATATTGGAATAAATGAAAATGTAGGTTCAGAAAAACATTCTCTGAGTTATCTTGTTGGAACAACTGCTCCAAATTTACATGATTAGTGTGGGCCTGAAGCCCTGCTAAAAAAAGAAAGGTTCCTGCCTGGCGTCCTCTCTATCAAGTTTTCTACCAAGAAAAAGCAAGCAAGTTCTGACAAAGACCACATTTAAAGGGTGTGAGCGCTTCTATCAGAGCAGTGAGTCAATGGTCCCTCCTAACACTGTGCATTTTAAGATTCTATAATTCTTTGCTTCCATAAGATTTTTGTTCTGATGAAATATTTCCATAAAGTTTGACTTTTCTCTAGTCAAAAGACCAAACAAGTAAAGGATAAGGCTGAAATGTTAACAAGTCTATAAAGATAGAGCCTCTGCTTCAGAGACAGAAATATCTAGCCTTTAGATCAGCAACTATCTAATGAGTGCTCTTCTCCTCTACTTCCTTTAACTTTCCAGTCACTCCCACTACTTTGGCCATGAGCCAGACAATTGAAACAACCAACAGAGCTGGTAGACCCACCACTCTTCCCAACATAACATTCATGTTAACACACGCTCAAGTGTCTCTTTTGGTCTGTTTTCAGTTGACAAAAGGAAAACACTTCACTTATTCTAATGTTGCACACCATTATCCAATGCTACTGAATTTTCAGAAACACGCACTTTTTTTCTTATAAGTTGCCCTTTAGAAAGGGACACAGGGCTGGGGTTGTGGCTCAGCAGTAGAGCACTTGCCTAACACTTGCCAGGCGCTACGTTCGATCCTCAGCACCACATAAAATAAATAAATAAGTAAATAATGAAGGTATTGTGTCCAACTACAAGAAAATATTCAAATAAATAAATAAAAGGGGAGGAAGGGACACAGGCAGGGGATGTAGCTCAGTGCACTGGATGTAGCTAGAGCACTTGCCTAGCAAGCCCTGGGTTTGATTCCCGGCACTTAAAAAAAAAAAAAAATTTAAATAAATAAGTCAAAATAAAAAGAAGGGAAAAGTAGTAAATCTGATGTGACTTTTCTCAGAATGAGGAAGCACTCAGTGCTTATTATTTTTATGCCAATAGGAATAGTAGTCACAACAGTCTACTTGGGTGATAGACGATTAAAATAAAATCTTTCACCACTTAATCTGGACCTATAAAATCACTGTCAGCATTATTTCTGATTTAGCTAGATTGCCCCACACTATGAATCCCCAGGGTCTTGTGCATGCCGGCCCTGAATCTATCTTTTTAAATGAATTTATTTTTCCCACAGCATTCTGAATGACTTGTATACATGTGAAGGAATACAAAAGTTTAGAACTGAGCATGATGGTGCACACCAATAATCCCAGTGACTTGGAAGGCTGAGGCAGGAGTATTAACAAGGTTTTTTGTTTGTTTTGTTTTTGAGTACTGGGGATTGAACAAGGGCACTTGACCATTAAGCCACATCTCCAGCCCTATTTTATTTAGAGACAAGGTCTCATTGAGTTGCTTAGCATCTTATTTTTGCTGAGGCTGGCTCTGAACTCGCAATCCTCCTGCCTTAGCCTCCTGAGCCGCTGGGATTATAGGCGTGTGCCACCACGGCTGGCTGTATTACAAATTTAAAGCCAGTCTAAGCAACTTAGTGAGGCCCTGCCTCAAAAAAGAAAAATGGCTGGGAATATGGCTCAGTGGTTTAAAAAACACACCACCACTGGGTTCAATCCCCCAGTACCAAAAAAAAAAAAAAAAAAAAAAAAAGTTTAGAAATCTGTTTGGCAATCTTAAAAATAAAATATCTGTCTATATTACCTACTAACCTAAAGACCCTAGGTAGCAAGGCCAAAAGCCAAAGGGACTTAGATACAGAATTATAGAACCTGAGAATTTGAGTGGCCATTAGAGGTGATTCCAGAAGCCTATCCTCTTGTTTTATGGGTCAGCTTCTCTCAGTAAGTGAATGATACATGTTTTCAATAAAACCACTCACACTACAAACACTACTCTGCATTTCACTTTTTTTTTTCCATAATGTCATGGGTGCTTCTACAAGTCATAGATCCAGATGTACTTTTATCTTTTTCCCCAACATTTTTAGGCATGTATACACACACACTAACTTAAATTAAATGGAAACATGTTGGTTTTGTTCTTTAATGGCTACATAATATTCCAATTTATCCCACCACTTTCAGTTTTATTATTGCTGATTTTACCACTCTGAAAAAAATCAGTAAACTTCCTCATGCACATATCTTCATGTGCTGGAGTTTCATTTCTATAAAAGATTGTCAGTAGAAGATGTTCTGGGTAGAAAACCAGTGTATTTTTAGTTTTTACAGTCATTTCCATGTTGCTTTCCAAAAAGGTTGAATACTTTACATTTTCACTAAGAATATATGCAACTATTCTTCTCCTCAACCTACTGTTTCATGCTATTAGTTTAATGAGAATAAAGTGATGTCCTACTGTGACTTCATCCTGGAGACAGAGCATCTTTTCAAATGATTCTTGGCATTTGGAGTTGCTCTTTTCTTTAGCTGCTCTTTCCTTCTATTTTTTTTTTAATGATTAAGTTTAAATCCTGTTTATGGTATCTTTTACCATATAATTTATTTCCTGTGTAGTCATATATAGACAAACACACACATTTGTGTGTGCCCAAATCACAATGTACCATATTATCTTATACCTTTTTTCCCCTTAACACTTATCAGGAACATTGTCCTATGCTAATAAATATCTACCACATAATTTTTTATATCCGGAGAGAAATAGAGTAATAGTCCATTATACAAAAAAGCCATAGTATTAAACCAGTCTCCTCTAGCAGGTCATGTATATTGTTACAAACTACTGCCCATTTAAACAATGTCCTGATTTTTTTTTTTTTTTTGGGGGGGGCGGGTACTGGGGATTGAACCCACAGGTGCTTTACCACTGGGTTACATCACTAGTCAATTTTATTTTTTATTTTGAGACAGGGTCTCGGTATTTCCCAGGTTGGCCTGGAATTTACAATCCTCCTACTTCAGCTACCTGAGTTGCTGGGATTATAGGAGTGTGCAACTGCACCTGTACTATATACTTCTTTGAGTCTATTTGCTCATTCCTTGCATTTGAAAGCCAATTATCTTCAAGGAAGAGGTGGGAGAAGGTGGAAAGAAATATTAAAAAGAACAGGGAGACCCTCTATTAGTGACATGCCCTTGAAGTTTTGTGTCAAAATGTATGTGCTTCACATATAGCTATATCCCCAGTCCTCATGTACTTAATCTTAATTATTAGTTCTGTTAGATATTTTTATTTCATGTAATCAAATACAAATAATAGCATTATTGAGCATTTTCTACATGCTAGGTACAATTCTGAGTTTTATATGATTAAATTCATTTAATTATTTAACTAATTTTACAGATGAAGAAATTGAAGCATGAGCTTAGGTAACCTGTCCAAAATCACACTAAGAAATGCAGATCAGGGTTTCACCCAAGAGATCTGTCTTCTGAGCAGGGCTCTTAATCGCTAGCAACAATGTCTATCCAACAGGTTAGATGAAGTGCCAAGTCATTCAGATAGTAAGTGGATTCAAAGCCAGGATTTGAATCCAGGTCTCACAGACCTCAAAGCCCATGCTCTATGACTTTCTGGTTATAAACTAGAAGACAACAGACAGTATATAGACAGTAGAAAAACAAAAGAACAGAACACTTAAACTACCTTTATATCATTCAGAAATTCGATGTCTTTCTTCTGTATTACTTTATTTGTCCATATTAAGGCACTATAGGTCTTAGTCTTTTCTTCTTCACCTTCTTTCATATGTCCTATTGCCTCTCTGAACAAAAACAATAAAAGAAAGTTTGCCTGAATATATATTGTACACACAAGCCTTGCCCCAAATTCTTCTTTTTAAAAATAGCTTTATTAAGATACAATTTCTGTACAATTCCCTTAGATTAACTGTACAAATTCAGTGATTTTTAATATCTTTACAGAGTTGTGTGGCTACCACCACCTGCTAATTCTACAATGCAATCATCATCCCCCAAAAGAAATCACATACCCATTAGCAGGCACTTCCTATTCTTCCTCCACCTCAGCCCTAGGAAACTATTAATTGATTTTCTGTCTTATATAGAGTTCCCTATTCTGAACCTTTCATATAAAATGAAATCCTACAATATGTGGTGTTTGGTGACTACCTTCTTTCACTTCATAGTGCTATCAAGGCAGCTATGTTTCACACGTGTCAGTCTTTCATTCCTTTTTACTACTTAATAATATTCCATTATATGACATACAGTAGTCCCCCCTTATCTATGATTTCCCTTTTTCGCAGTTTCAGGTAAATTTTGGGCTGAAAATAATAAATGGAAAAATCCCAGAAATAAACAATTCACATTTTAAATAACTTATATTACACTATAAAGTTATAATTGTCCATTTTATTATTAGTTGTTATTGTTAATCTCTATTGTGCCTAATGTAGAAATTAAATTTTATTAAAGGTATATCTGTATAGGAAAAAAGTATATGTAGAGTTCTGAAACTATCCAATTTCAGACATTCCCTGGGGGTCTTGGACGTACCCTCCATGGATAAGGCTAAGAGGAATATACTGTGTCACACAGTTTATCCACAGATATTTGGGTAATTTCTATTTATTTGCTTTTTAAAAAATGCTACTGTGAACATTCATGTACATTGTGTGGATGTATGTTTTCATTCTTCTTGCATATATGATATCTAGTAGTAGAATTGCTGGGTCATATGGTAACTGTTTAATCTTTTGAGAAACTGTCAAACTATTTTCCAAAGTGGGCACACTTACAATTCTACCAGCAATGTAGGCTATAGTTTTTCTATATTCTTATCAACACTTGTTTGTTTTTTTTTGTTTTTTGTTTTGTTTTTTTAAATAGTCAATCTAGTGAGTGTAAAGTAGGATTTCATTGTGGTTTTGATTTGCATTTCCCTAACAACTAATGATGTTGAGCATTTTTTCATTTTTCATTGACTATTCATATATTCTTCTTGGAGAAAAGTCTACTTAACCATTTGTCCATTTTTAATTAGAGTACATTATATATTCTGGATATAATTCCTTTTTCAGACATATAATTCACAACAAAAACTTCCCTTTTGAAATCATCTCCAGTAAGCCTACCCTTACCTTGAAACAAGCTGCAAGTCACGTACTTGGATTTTGTTAGATGACTTATTAATTTTCTATAGTAGCAGAAAAAGAAAAACAATGAGCAACTCTAGTTCAGTTACAGAGTTACAGAAACATGACGATTTCCATGTTATTAAGTGGTTTACCTGCTGAAGTTCCTTAATTTCTTGTGAAGTGAAATGTACTCTATGAGGATTCACCAGCTCAATTGCAAAGGGCCTTCCTGGCAGCACACACCCCGTCATGAAACAGAAACGTGTTGATGGAGTTAACATTTGGGCTAATGCAAGAGGGTTAGGAGGTGTGAAAAACAGGTTGAGTACTAGAGGACTGAAAGTTTAGTGACATGACTATATCTGGGGGAGGGAAAGAATGTGTGAAAAGAATCAAGGGGCTTTTGAGGGGGTGAGGGCTGCTAAACTCCAGCAGAGGCATTATGTGAAAATGACTGCTTTCCCGAAGGTCCACAAACAAGGCTGTGTTAATCACAAAATAAAATTCAAACAACCACTACTTAAATTGGTTACTCTAGCATAATGTTTTCACATGCAGGAATGCTCAAGTATACCAAGTTGAAATTCACTCTCCCAGCCTAATCCACTAGGGAAATACAAAAGCTATGATTCCATGAGACAAAAGGACTACAGATCTAAATTTGGGATTAATACTCATCATTTTTCTTCTAATTCAACAAGATAAAATGAAAAAAAAAAGGAAAGTCTACGATAGCAGAATCATTTTTTAAGTGAAGATGATCATTTTTGAAAACTACTGCTGATTCTGAAGCATTTTTACGTGGAATAACTAATAATCAAATTTAGGGGAGAAAAAATCAGGTACCTTCTTTTTAATGCACATAAAAGTCCCTTACAACCTACAGGTATGAAATAAGGATGGGCCCTGAAGAAATGATTCCTGTAAAGACATATATAATATAATTTACAAAGGCTGCTCCATAATCCACAAGGCTTCCCCCCTTGGAGAAGCTCTGAGCTCTGCCCACTTTGGTTCTGACTAAGTGACTATGGAAAGCCTGCTGTTTGGGAAGACTGACCATAGAAAAGTTACTTTTAATCAGGTGATGCTGATGCAATCTTACCATTTCCTAATGTTCTCACATCTACATCTTCTCTTCCAGAGGATGAGAAATTAAAACCTTTGGAAAGCATATCAAGAAAAAAATATCAGAGACATAATAACCCTGAGACATTCATTTCCAACCTCTAGTAGAAATCCAATTTAAGCTTCTGAACAGTGGTACTAGATAGTTATCATCCCATCTCTAACCCCAATCTCTGTTGAAAATAGTAATGATAATAACAAGCAACACTTATTGAGCACATTTAATATCATTATTAAATGCCAGGCACCAGGGTAAAAATCATGCACACATTATTATATTTAATCTTTATAACTTTATAAAGTAAGCAGTAAATAAATAAAAAGAACACCAAGCTTTAAAAATTCAGGTAATTTCCCCAAGTCACACAATTAAATTGCAGAGCTAGGTCAAAAACCCATGGGAAAGCCAAACACAGAGCACTATTTGAAGGAAGGCCCCACCACCTTCCTGGTGACCAGCTTATGGTAAAACTTCTATCATGTTTTTTTACTTTCCTTAAAATAAATACATTTATTTAAGAATTAAACTCTAAGAGGTGGCAAGGGGAGGTTTAACTCTTTAAAAAATTCATTATATAATGAAACCTAGGCTGAAACCATGATAAAACTAGCATACATTCTTCAATTAAGTAGATCATTGTAGACTAAAAGCCATAAATACTGGATGGGGAAATGGCGCTTTTTTTTTTTTTTAAGATAGAGAACTGATAAATTATTTAATAAGTTGCTACCAATTTGCTACCAACCCAGTAGCAAATACTACCATTGAGAAGGCATTATTCTAAATGCTTTGTGCATGTTAACACTGTCATTATCATCATTTTACTTATGAGGAAGGTGAGACAGAGACATGATGCTTAAGGTCCTATCATTCTAAGAATTGCAAATCCATTGGCAGGGTTAAGTATGAAACAGGTAATCTGGCACCCATTTCTTAACCACCCAACAATAACTGCATCACCAAAGACACGGCCAGAGGAACTCAGACTTGTACTCAGGGGGACAGAAAGGACCAGTCATCTTTGACCAAGGACTAGGAAAGGTTGGGATATTTAGTCAAAAAAGTGGTAAAGTTTAAGGTCTCTGAACACAGAGGTTGAAGGCTAGGAGAACTTTATTCATTTAGTAAACAAATACCTATAGAGTACCTACAATATGCAAGGCCCTGTGCTTGATGCAGAGAGATAAACACAGTCCTAGTTACTATTGGTGGAGGGATATGTACTATAATATGGAAAAGTAAGCATGGGACAGGATATGCACAGGAACATTATTACACTAAGAGCACAATTTTAATATATGTTATGAGAGTTTGAATTTATTCCTCAATATTCCAGTCACTTTGGGGAGCACAAGATGAGGAAGAACAAGACTTCTAAGAAGAGTAGATAGGGAAAATAGGAGGGGAAGAAGAACTGTATCCTTTATTTATTTATTTATTTATTTTTTGGTTCTTTTTAGCTATACATAAGATTCATTTTGACATAATTATAAAAGCACGAAATGTAATTTGTTCTAATTCAGTACTTAGTAGTTCTCCTTTCCTTTTCCTGCTCCATTCCCTCTACTCTACTGATCTTTCTGCTCTTTATATATATTTTTAATTTTATTGTATGTAGATACACATGATGGTAAGTTCACTGTGGTATATTCATATATGTACATAGGAAATTCAGGTCAGATTCATTCTACTGTCTTTCCCTATCCTATCCTTCCTCCCTTCCCCTTCATTCCACTTTGTTTACTCCAGTGACCTTTCTTCTCTTTTTCTTTTATCCTCCCCACCTTAATTTGGATTACCTTCCACATATCAGAGAAAACATTATACCTTTGATTTCTGGGGACTGGCTTATTTCACTTAGCATGATAGTTTCCAGTTCCATCCATTTACCAGTAAATGTCATAAAGTCATTCTTCTTTATGGCTGAGTAATACTCAATTGTGTATATATACCACAATTTATCTATTCATCTGTTGATGGGCACCAAATTGGCTCCCTAGCTTGGCTATTGTTAATTGTGCTGCTATAAACACTGATGTGGCTACATCACTATAGTATGCTGATTTTAAGTTCTTAATATATACTGAGGAGTGGGATAGCTGGGTCAGGTCATACATTGGTTCCATTCCTTGTTTTCTGAGGAATCTCCATACTGCTTTCCAGAGTGATTGCATTAATTTGCAGTCTCACCAATAATGTATGAGTGTACTTTTCCCCCACATCCTCACCAACATTTATTGTTACTTGTATTCTTGATAATTGCCATTCTAACTATAGTGAGATGAAATCTCAGTATAGTTTTTAAAAAATATTTTTTAAATAATGTTATTGGGGCTGGGGTTATAGCTCAGCGGTAGAGCGCCTGCCTCACACACATGAGGCAAGATAAATAAATAAATAGGCAGATAAATAAATAAATAATCTTTAAAAAATAATGCTATTGTATTTTTTATGCCTTTATATTATTTATTTATTTTTATGTGGTGCAGAGGATCGAACCCAGTGCCTTACATGTGCTGGACAAGCACTCTACCACTGGGCCACAACCACAGCCCCTAGTATAGTTTTAATTTGCATTTCTCTAATTGCTAGAAATGTTGAACACTTATTCATACATCTGTTGACCACTGTATTTCTTCTTTTGAGAAGTTTCTCTTTAGTTCCTTTTCCATTTATTGATCGGGCTGTTTTTTGGTGTTACGTTTTGAGGGGTTTTGGTTTTTGTTTTTTGTTTTTTTTTTGGTATATCCTGGATATTAATGCTCTGAGGAACAGGTGGCAAACATTTTTTACAATTCTGTAGGCCCTCTCTTCATGCTTGTTTTCTTTGTTGTGAAGAAGCTTTTTAATTTGATGCCATCTCACTTATTGATTTTTAATTTTACTTCTTGTATTTTAGGAGTTTTGTTAAAGATGTCAGTTCCTGAGCTGACATGCTGGATTGTTGGGCCTACATTTTCTTCTAGCAGTTGCAAGTTTTCTGGTCTAACTCTTAAGTCTCTGATCCACTTTGAGTTGACTTCTGTGCAGGGTGAGTGATAAGGGTCTAGTTTCATTCTTCTACATATGGATAATCAATATTCCCAGCACCATTTGTTTAAAAGGCTATCTTTTCTCCAACATATGATCTTGGCACTTTTGTCAAGTATCAGATAACTGTAATGTATGTGGGTTTGTCTCTATGTCTTCTATTTCATTGATCTTCATGCCTTTTTTGGTGTCAGGACTATGCTGTTTTTGTTACTATAGCTCTGTAGTTCAATATTGTGATACCACCTGCTTGACTTTTCTTACTAAGGATTGCTTTGGCTATTGCGAGTCTCATTTTTCCAAATAAATTTCATAACTGCTTTTTCTAGATCTGTGAACATAAGAATTGCATTGAATCTATATAGTGCTTTTGGTAGTATGGTCATTTTGACAATATTCATTCTGTCTATCCAAGTACATGGGAGGTCTTTCCATCTTCTAAGGTCTTCTTCAATTTCTTTCTTTAGTGTTCTATAGTTTTCACTGTAGAGGTCCTTCACCTCTTCTGTTAGATTGATTCCCAGATTTATTTGTTTGTTTGTTTTTTAAAGACTACTGTGAATGGGATTGTTTTCCTAATTTCTTTTGAGAAGATTCATCATTGGAATGTAGCAACATGATTTATTATTGAATGTTATTCTTGCTACACTGCTGCATTAATTTATTAGCTCTAGAAGTCTTCTGGTAGAGTTTTATGGGTCTTCTAAACATAGGATCATGTAAACAGTAAACACAGATAACTTAAGCTCTTCTGAAAAGAAGGAGAAAACTATTTGAATCCCTTTAATCCCCTTTTCTTGCCTGATTGCTCTGTATATAGTTTCAAGGACTATGTTGAAAGTGGGCATCCTTGTCTTGTTCCTGTTTTTAGAGGAAATGCTTTCAGTTTTTTCCTAGAGTAACGATGCTTTAGGTTTGTCATATACAGCCTTCACAATGTTGAAGTAAGTTCCTTCTACCCCTAGTTTTTACAGTGTTTTAAACATAAATGGGTGCTATACTTGGTCAAATGCTTTTTTCTTTTTACATCTATTGAGATAATAATATGATTCTTGTCCTTAAGCCTATTTATGTGGTGAATTACATCTGTACTTGAAACCCACTTGATCATAGTACACTATCTCTTTAGTGTGTTTTTGTAGGTGGTTTTCCAATATTTTATTAAGAATTTTTACATCTATATTTATCAAGGATATTGGTCTGAAGTTTTCTTTCCTTGACATGTTCTTGTCTCTTTTGGTAACAGAGTGATACTGGCTTCGTAAAATAAGTTTGGCAGTGTTCCCTCCTTTTCTATTTCATGGAATAATTTGAGGAGGATTGGTATTCTTTTTTAAAAAATATTTATTTTTTAGTTTTAGGTGGACACACAATATCTTTATTTTTTATGTGGTGTTGAGGATCGAACCCAGAGCCCCGCGCATGCCAGGTGAGCACACTATTACTTGAGCCACATCCCCAGCCCTGGTATTAATTCTTCTTAATGGTCTAGTAGAACTTGGGCTGAGAATCCATTTGGTCCTGGGCTTTTCTTTGTTGGAAGGCTTTTTTTTTTTTTTTTAAGAGAGAGAGAGAGGAATTTTTAATATTTATTTTTTAGTTTTCGGCGGACTCAACATCTTTGTTTGTATGTGGTGCTGAGGATCGAACCCGGGCCGCACGCGTGCTAGGCCAGCGCACTACCGCTTGAGCCACATCCCCAGCCCTGTTGGAAGGCTTTTGATAACTGCTTCAATTTCATTACATGAAATTGATCTGTTTAAGTTTTCTATGTCCTCATGGTTCAATCTGGGTAGGTCATATGTCTCTAGGAATTTGTCAGTATCCTCAAGATTTTCTACCTTGTTAGAGTATAAATTTTCAAAATAGTTTCTGGTGATCCTCTGGATTTCAGTAGCATCTGTGGTAATATTTCCTTTTTCATCTTGGATTTTGATAATTTGAGTTTTTCCCTCTGTTTTGGTTAGTTTGGCTAAGGGTTTATCAACTTTAAACTTTCAAAA